GAGGACATAAATAAAAAATTAAAAGACTATCTATTGGAACAAAAAAGTGATGTTTCAGTTAAAAAATTTAAAGAATACAGTCAAACCTTGTCATAACGGATTTCAATCTAGTACAAATTTAGAAGGTATCTGCAGAAATATCCAATCAAATACAATATTTCTGCATATACTTTCTAAATTTGTACTAGATCGAAATCCGTTATGACAAGGTTTGATTGTATATTGAAAATGAGGTTTTTCCAGAAATTGGAATTGAAGAAAAAAAAACAATCAGTGTAAAAACTAGCCCAGTTTGGTTGAAAAAGCTTGGTTATCATTTTTACTATGACACAATATATCAAAGGTTCCGTTATAAAGATTTGGATTTCAATTCTATCAAAGATTATTACCCTTGCTTATTATATTTACTCATTCTTTAACATTAAATTTATATAGATTAATAATTTTTTAAAAAAAAGGTATATAATAACAACAATAATAAAAATCCCAAGGGATCCTTCCTTGGAAGATGACAAAAATTTCTATCATAATAATTGACATCGAACAAATAATCGATAGCAGCATAATCGTAGCTACTACCCTTGCTATTGTTACTATTATTACCACCACCGCTGTCATTGTCTCCATTATTACCACTTCACCATCACTGCCCTCATCGTCACATTACTATCACCATTGCTATTACTACTACTATTACTACCACCGCTGACATAATTTCCACCATTACTAACATCCATCACTATCATCATCACGTCATCATCGTCATCATCATAGTCATAATAATGATAATAATCATTGCCACTGATATTCACACACATTCAAATGATTAATGACAAGTGTAATTATAAAAATTATATATAGGTTGTAGTCTTAGCGTGGTTGTGGCTGTTGTTGATATTGCTGTTAATGCTGCTGCTGCTGTTGTTGTTGTTGACGTTGTTTTCGTCTTATTCTTCTTTCACTCATTTTCTTTTGTTTTCCAAAGTCATTTTTATCACATGACTTTAATTTATAAACTAATATGATGGTGTATTACTTTGCAGATAATAATAGTAGTAGTAGTAATAATAGGGCAGGCGTTACGAAACATCCTGCACGTTCTTGGGGTGTTTCATTTTTATAGATCACCAAACACATGCTATGTTGCAATTAAGTGCGATATCGCAGTTAGAATGCTAAGATTGCAATAAAGTTGCCACTAATTAATTTAATTGTATGGTGCGCGAAGTCTATAACCACCATTTACTGTGCCACACTGCCAAATTTCACCAAAAACTCAAAAATAATGGTTTTTTTTTGACAAAAAATTTATAAAGTCATGTGATTTCTAAAATTTCTTAATTTGTTTTATTATCAACTTTAATTA